CTTCCTTCCTACCTTCTAGGGATATTATTTGCTCTGGACATCCCACCCTTCACCTTCCTTCCTACCTTCTGAAGATATCTATGCTCCTTGCACTGATGTATGCTGCATGAGTGGTAGTAAATAATGGCCACGGATACTTCCCATGCCTCCCATCCGGCTCATGCCCAGACACAACCATTTGTCAAGAGTGCTGTACAGAGCTTGTCTAGAAGATGGAATTTCTTTATCCTTCTAAAACAAAGGTTCCTCAGATGACCCAACCCTACGAAAGGTATCCACACTAGGTGTCACTTTCAGGGATCGCCACTTGAGGGTTCAAAGAACAATCTGGAATAATTGATAATTTCTGTTCTCCAGTCAACCAGAGTGAACCTGTTTGCAATGCTGTCCAGGGAATAAAGACAGGGAGAAACCCATGAAGCCGGTGTCATACTTTCATTAGCTCACCTTCGGTAAAATTCAAAATTCCTTTGGTCAAGCATACTTTTTTAATTTAAAATCTACCTTTATTTAGGACGGAAACAGTGACCCACAATTATTGGCTAATCCCTAAATATCACAAGTTCAAAAGGGCACTGGCTGTAATACTGCTGAACGTGTCCTTTGGAGCATACTTCTCCGTCGAGCTGTTTTCCTGCTGTGGGATGCCGGCATGAAAGACCCTGACTAGCTGTGATTAACACTAATGATGCCATGCTGCATAAATGCCTGTCTTGTCAGAACATTTTTCAATAACCATTTTAATGGTCAAGAGTATGTAACCATTGTGTACTAAGAGGTTAAAGAATTTAACAGCATTTGTATTATCTACTTTTAAGGTTAAGAACCTCTTTTAAAAACAATTCAAAGAGATGCGCGAGATATGGAGGTCAACCCAACCCTGACAACCTGTCTGGAATGTTGAGGAATGAAGACTGACTGATTGTAATGTTATCCCCAGTCCCCTGCCACCTGTCATGAATGGTCCACATAATCAGGATAATCTCTGACTAATCTGCCCATGTGCTGACATGAAATACGGGTTAATCGAATTAGTGATGGTAATTAGGAGAGCACATTCCATACTTAAGATAAGGAGGAAGCACTTGTAGTTGCCATGGCAATGTAGGAAATAGCCACAGACAGGTGAAGCAACAACTATTCCTTGCATTTCTATGAGTAAAACTACCAAATTCTTTTGTTGCAAAGGACCTTTTTCAAATTCTACTAAACCCTAATGGAATACCGGTAGTATTTATATATTGAGGGGTCTTTTCATTTGTTTGTTCCTGTAATCAACTTTTCGCTTCAACATCAGCATCGAAGTCATTTGTGCATTTCCTGTTGTTGGATACGTACAAATTCAAATGAAACAACTTTCAGTTTGTGGTCAACAATTCATAATACCAGCTAAGCCCTAAATCTTTTATTTTACAAAATTGTGAGTCTACATTTCACACTGTAATCTAAAACAACTTGCAGGTTGCTGGTGGGTACTTCTAGTACCTACTATAAACTTTGTGATCTCCAAATAAAGAAAGTAGTAAATTTTCCTGCCAAACCTTTTCTGCACAAAGGGGCCACCATGACAGTTGACCACCAAGACAGTTTAGTTAAAACCTCAAGCTGCATCCTGTCAGAGGGCAGATGTGTCATGGACAACACTAATAATAGCAGCGAGTTGCTCCAAACACACCCAGCTAGCTGCATGCATCACTTTTCTCAGGCCAGGAAGGTACCATCCTGTGCCACCAGGAGAGACACACCCCCTCCCCCCTCCTTACACATTTCTATCCCCCGCTGACTTGCAGCTGTCCTAGCTGTAACCCCTGTACCTGGTACAGTCAGACCTGTGCATACTGTAGTGACCACTCATGGAACTGGAAGAAAAGTGGTCACAGTACACACAAGTGGCTACTATTGACAGGATACTAAGGTAGTTCATTTGGGTCTAGCTGGGTCATTTGGGATTGCTACTGGGTTTGACATCAATGGACGGCACCCAGAAAACTGAAAACGATCAGAGAAGAGCACTCAATAAGCAAAAGATAGCCAGTGATGAAGCCTGCTGAGGAGGCTAGGCTTTGAGGAAGGTCTTACTTCCTCTCCTTTGGTATCGTCCCAGCGGCCAAAGACAGAGTTTGCTGCAGCCAGGACGGCACAGCGGGAATTCAGTGTAGTAGTGATGCCAGCCTGAATATGAACAAAAAAACAACACCAATAACACAGGTTTAGGTTTACATCAAATCAGATGGCAAAACCATTTTTCATTCATTTGCAGATGTTTATCAATGTTTGCTACATGTGTCCATACACTTTGCTTACCAGTATATTGGACTTTGTCTCATTGCTTGTACTGCTAATTCTGGTGGACAACAAGGATTTTTATGTATTATACATGTATATTTATCAACAACTGGGCCATTTACCAGTCAGCCCCCACAACATCTTTGACATTTAGTGTGCTTGATAATACGGCAACTATGAGCCAAGTTGTTGTTGGTTCACTGGCTATCAAAAGCACTAAAGGTTAAGTCCACTCACTGCCTCTCCCACCCAAAGGAGTACACAAGTTCTCAAAAGAACACACAATTCTATCAGATCATTTTCTTTCCCATTTCACTGCCAGTTTTGCTGACTTTGCAGATGCCTTAATGTCAAGGTCAAATACAAGGGAGGGGCTGAAAGCCAGAGTCTTTCGACCTTGAAAGAAATCATTACTTCCTCTCTGTGGGGGAGCTGGGCCCATTCCTGGGGGACTTTGACATGTTACTGTACAAGGACGTCCAAGTTTTTTTATCTACCAGGACTGGATATTATGTAATGAGTAGAAGGGCTCCCCCTGGCAGAGTCATGGCCAAAGCAAAGGTCTCTCAGCAGGAGCAGGCGGGAGGCACAGCTCTCAGGGCTAACTGTCTTCTGTCTGACCTTACAAGGGTTAGGGCCAAATTCCAACAGACACATCTTAGGCCACAGTAAGTAATTTCTTAAAAGAATTATCTGCCTGTCTTCTGTCCAATCTTACAAATGTTAGGTGATATTCAAGTAAGCACATCAAAGCACTCAATGGAAGATAAAGTAAATCAGCCTTAAGGACTATCTTGCAAGTTGAAAACTGCATTATTGCCAAGGGCTACATTTTTTTCCAATGTTAATTAACAGAAGTATTCTGTCTAATCTTATAATGTTAGGGCCAAATTTCATGTAGGCACACTGAAGCAATCAATTGAAGACAAAGTAAATCAGCCTTAAGGCCCCATCTTCCCAGTTGGGGGTTGCACTTTTGTCAAGGACTAAGGTCTTGTTTTTCTGCTGACTTTCACTGAAGAGAGCCTTTTCCCACACCTCCACACCTGTAGATTATGGGAAATTAAAATGAAATAAAAGTACTGGATGCCAAATGGGATTTTTGACTATCCTACAGCAGTCTTTCTCAGAATTAGTCATCAAACTACTGGATCCTGTGACCTTATGGACGTTTACACTGCCCACTGTCTCTGTTGAGTGATGTTTGTACCAAAGATCACGTTGGACTTCATCTTTCTTCAAAACACGAACACATGGCAGTCGTTTATCCTGACTGAACCGTGACAGTCATGGGCACCTGTCAATCAAGTCCCACTACACCACAAACTTGAGCTGCACTGTTTTCTTCAGCCATCAGCTCACGCCGTCTATTTTCTCAGTTGTTGGATATCTGAAAGTGAAAATTCAGCGAGAGGCCAACACGAAAACAGAGCTGAGGAAGACTCAATTACATGTATGTACACACTCCTTGGAACTGTATAAACCTTTGTCCAGACTTCCTTCTCAGACTGTATTTACATTGATCAGGAATTCATCTTAATCTGTGAACCAACACACTAACTTGGTGTGGCCTTAGTTCCCCCCTCCTGCCACATTGTACTTTAAGTGCAGACCTCCTCCTAACACACTTCACTGCTATAAGAGCCCCATGGGCAACAACTACATTTGGTAAAAACATGGACCCCTGAAAGCCTCTGCGATTCAAACACCACTTGCAGAGCACTTAACATCTTGATTCCATTCTAAGCTGGGCTACTTGGACCCCTACCAGGCAACTTTTGAGTGTGGCTGTAGTGAAGAGCAAGCCAAGGTCAAGTACAAATGCAGTCCGGTGGAATTCTCGGTTTACAGTTGCACCTCCCTTTTTCAGCCATGTGTTTACATTATGGTGACCACCTAAAGCTCTGCGATCTTATTTGCAGGAAAGATTTATGGAATGTTTAAACAGAGTCTATTGCTGATCACCAACTAACAAGGCCTTGATTTCCGAACCAGGAAAAGCTGTCCTTCCTCTGCAAGGGAGGCAGTTGCCCAGGTTAGCAGTATCGAACAACGACTGTAAATCTTGCAGCAGGTATTACCATTATGTTGGTTTATTGTTTCCCTTTGAAATTTTACAAGTTTCCTGACCACTAGGAACTGTAGGGGTGGCAGTTGCAAGTTGGGTAAGAGAAAACGGCAGGGATTCAAACTCACAACCTCTTGGTCCAGAGGCAGGGTCACTAACCATTAGACTACGATAAGTTAAAATGAACTTGTGCTGCTGACCTTGGCAATGGAAATTGTCTGCTGCTCCATGGCTTCATGGATGGCAACCCGGTCATCCTCCCTCATCTACATCAACAACAGGGAGAAAACATTGGTGTGATGATACTCAACTCCCCCTAGCAGTTAGGCCATGAACTACACTTGCTGGCTTACTACTTCAGACACCTCCTGAAGACTCAAAATTAGACTATGAATAATACTACATAGGGAAAAAACATGATAACTGAGGAAGTGACATGACCACCTGTCCAGTTCTTAAGTTTATCTGGAAGAAGATAAGAGGGCTGGTGGACAAGTTGGGGAGTTCTAATTCTGGAGGAGTGGAGTTGGAATAAAGTTAAATCCTTTTCCAATAAACTAAACTCACCTTGTCAAATTCATCAATACAGACCACCCCTCCATCAGCTAACACCATGGCTCCACCCTCCATTACAAAGTTCCGCTGCCAGTAAGAAAGCACATTCATGTCAATGACCATCTTTTTAAACAATCTGTTCCATAGTAAATACATCTACCTTGTTGTACATGCAATAATACACTGTACCTGCAGCAATGCAAGTGGGCAGAAAACAGTATTTCGAGCCCTGAAAGTGCAGTAAATAAACAGAGGACTTACAGTGGCAGCATCCCTCATGACTGATGCGGTGAGACCTGCTGCGCTGCTGCCCTTCCCTGATGTGTATACCTGCACGGGAAACACACTCAACACGTCACCTACAACTAAATAATTATGAAAATCCAATTATCCATTCGAGGTATTCTCAAGTCGTAGTATATATTCCCTTAAAACGATACTTCATTAGCTGTGATCACTAATGCAGTGATCAGTAGTTTAGACTAGGTCGGGGATAATCTTACCCCAATGGGCGATACGTTCTCCACAAACTTGAGGAGCTGACTCTTGGCGGTGCCAGGGTCTCCCAGGAGAAGCACGTTGATGTCACCTCTCCTGGTCAGGCCATCAGGCAGCCTGCAACAGAAAAACACTGCATTCTAATGTCTTAGTTCTGAGGTTTTTTAAAGACTTTGTGGCCGACCTGGCGCTGTCAGATAGGGGCTACCTGTGACAGCTAGTTCATAAAAAATCATTGCTTTCGTGATGTTCCTTGCAGAGCCATTTTAACCTTCTCCCTACCCCATAAAACATACAACTTTGGTGTCAAATGGCATTCTGAAGGTTAAATTTTATAATATGTTGTTTTATGTGAAGAATTTGAGGCTACTGGCCGTGTATCACCCATGTGTTGAAAATTGTTCTTTATTACAAGCCAGTACAGGTTAAAATTAAATGCACATCAGACATCAGAAATGCCTGCACAGTTCCAAGTCTAACTACACTAGCCTGCACATGCAGGTGGTACTTCAAGCCCTGCATAAGAAACACTACCTCTTCCTGGATCCTCCAAACAAAAGACACGAGATGGCCTTCTTGATGTCTGAAAAGTAAGATGAACAGAACATTGATACAACTGCAGTGTTGATAGTTCAGCTGAAAAGTTCTGTTCTGCAACTGTTAATTTTGGTTCATACAATAAGATATGAAAGAGAACTGGGACAATACAATAGCGCCACCTACTGGACGCAAAACAAACTACACTGTAGCAATCACAAATGTGCACCTTACACCACACCATTTATTTTCTTGGCTCTCAGGACATCTTAAATCAAGCTTCTAGCGGCCTGACGAGTGGAAGAGATACTAGAAACGTCAGTCAGGCTACTCAAAACTCATGTACTCACCGAGGCTCCCATAGATGGAAGGAGCGATGCTCTTGGCGATGATCTCATGTATGTCTGGTTTAGCGCTGAGTCGGCGGAACTCCTCCTCCTCCATGGGCGTGACGGCCCCTGCGCTGCTCCTCCCCGGGCCCGACATGTCCACACGGATCCCCACCACACGCAGGTACGGGTTACGGATGCCAACTGCCACCTTGTCACGGGTACCTCTCTGTTGGTCAGGAGGTAAAAACACCAAAGTTACTTTTCATACTCATATGATTCCTATGAATGAATGAATAAAATTTTATTTACTACAGGGAGGGGTTACCTGCCATTTGTTATAATTACAGGTTACAGATACCAGCTTGTTATTAACTTAACTTATTCATCTTTGTCATTTGGGTAACGATAACTATACAACAGTCAATATAGACAGGCTACTGATGCCTTCATACTTTGTCCCTAGCTTTCACATTACCACGTCCCTATCAAAACTGTTAGTGGCTGTAATAAGATTATCATCAACTAAAGGGGAGCCAGAAGAGAAGAGTTGTACCTTGCCGACTGCTGCTGACTTCTTAATGGCGTAGATCCCCATGATGGTGACTCTGTTCCCTGGAACCACCCTGTCACACAGGTACCTATCATAGAAACAAAAAGACTGGTTAGTACCTAAGCCTAATACATGATGTTTATTGCATATTTGTAACATGTATGCATAATGGAATGAAAACCTTAGAAACTAGTTACATTGAATATTTTTCCCCAATTAGGAGAACAATGGTGATGTTAACCAATTTCAAGACTACTCCACCCTTATTTTTTCACCCAAGTCCTTGACGTGTGCATTAGTACATAGAATTACAACACATAAAGCCCTGATTATGCTCTCTACTGATGCTACTGGATGTTAGGTCAGATACTCTAGCTCAACAAGCCTGTTAGGGTTTGTAGCGTAGAGATGACTCTAACCTCTAACATTGCACACTGGTGAGAAGCTGCCATAATTGACAGGCCAGGATAAGTGCAATACTGACACCAAGTTTACAGCATAACACTCCATCCTGACCTGTCAATCACACAGAGGAGGCGGAGCTATTGCTACAGGGGAGGTGCCAAAGACATGTCAATCACACAGAGAGGGTGGAGCTACTACAGCAGCAAAGTTGCCACAGGTAACAGCTCCGGAATCAGTGCAATACCAGCTACAGACAGGGTACTACAACTTATTCCAGCCTACGAGCCTCATGTACCATAGATAGGATGTACTTAACTTTTGTGTCAGGCTTTAGCATGTTATAAATAACCCACAAATCAATGCTATGAACATTTAAAAACACACAGATTTTAGGACACAATACATACAAACACTAACATGTGCTCACAAACATTACAACTTTAGTTCCTCTAGTTCCAACTTCCTGCAATTGACATTTGGGAAGTTCGGAGAAAACTACACACTTTTTCTAATCGGATGTGTTGGATGAAGGATTCGCTGATCAAAAAGGCCAGAAAAACTATTCTGAGAACGTATTTTGTAGGCTTAGTGGGCATGACCCACCTGTCGCAGTACAGCTGCAGGTGGCGCGGCATCTCCCCGTTTGGCACGGCCTCAGGAGCCTCCTGAAGCTTCAGAGTCTGGAAGTCCACGCACTTGCACTTCTCTGGCACGATGAAGAACGGATCCACGGGACACTTCGGCCGCCCTGCTTGGTCCCTAGAAAGAAAAAAAAATTCAGCACAACTTTGCAAAAACCAGAGGTTGATTTTGCTTTACTGATTGCAATTCTTTAACGTTGTGGTACCATAATTTCTATGCAATTGCTTTATTTGTTTGCTCCATGAAAAGCAGACGCTCAACATTTATCAGCTGACTCACGTGTTACACTTGCGGGGTAGCTGGTACCCCTCTAGGCCAGGCTTCACCGCAATGTTGGGGACGAAAGTGCGACAGCTTCGACACTGGATGGTGATCCTGGTGGCCTTGGCACGGATCGTTGAGGCAGCGATCATGATCCCCGGGATTTTCACCAGCCTTGCCATCTGATCCGACTGTGAGAAGTATGGTGACAAAGTCCACTGAATTCAACAATCTTTTTACTTACATTTTCACTTCTCTACCTTCCAAACTTAGAAGATATATTTTCAGCATCCTATCTGATCTGATGAAAGAGAGTTCAGTCCTCATCGTTCTTTTAACAACACTAATGTGGCAGGATAGATAAAGTAAGTACAAGTTTGGATGTTTGTAGGTGCCGTCTTGTTTTTAGACTGAATTTATTGCTTTGCATTCAGCATTATATGTAATGTGGGTGGTGCACAACACCTACAATTGCTGCCAAGTGCTCTATCTTGTATTGTTTAAACTTTTCCTGCAATTTGATTAAGGAAAGAAATAAGGGAGGGGCAGGGTGAGCTGTCTGACCTTGAGGTCCCTGATGGTGGCGGGGTTGGAGTCGTCCATCAGCATGACCTGGACGTCCTGCACCTCCGACTCTCCCTCCGGCCGCGGCCGCGTCACCTCATCTGCAACCTCTGTTGCCGCTTCCTCCAGCTGGGAAGAGATGCAGAAATTAAGTGGCTTGCAATGTTCTAGTTTCAGTGTTTCATGTTTTCTAGTTCCATGATTTCAGTGTGATTTGGCCTCCTCTTGATGTGATTTAGGCTCCTATACTGTCTTTTAACCAGTGTCTGTTTTTTTTGGGGGGGGGAGACAACTTCATAAAAGACTTCCCAGGAAATTATGAAAGCAGTACATGTGTATTTCAAATGGAACAACAGATGAAGGTAATTTTTTTTACCAGAGGTAGAAGTTCTGATGGTGTCTTGCGCAGCTTGTCTGCAAGTTCTTCGTCAAAATTGGCCAAGTCCCCGACGTCCACCTCGATGTAATACTGGCCCAAGTTGTAATGACGCCTCAGCTCATCTCTGTAAGGCAGGGAAGAAACATGTGGAACTAGAATTCTCCTACTGTTGTAATATATGTTTTATAAAGTGTGGTGCATAACATCAGCTAAGAAAGTCTGCTGCCTTGTGTGCCACAGTGCATTACTGTTGCAGTTTTAATAAACAAATATTTCACGAATATGAATAGGGATATAAAGAAAGAAGTCTCGAAGAACTGATCAGGGACTGGCAACAACTGTCCCCAAAAAAAGACTTTTTCACCCCAAATATCTGCTTGGAGATTAAAGAGACCAGACCCAGCATGCACTGCGCAGAATACCCGCGAAAAATGTCTACTGAAGCCAAAATTATTTGTAACAAAGCCAGATGTATAAACATATTTCGTACCTATATTCTAAGTTCAATTCTTCGATATCACAAGCACCCAACGTTTTCAACACTACAGTATCAAACTAAAATTCTTTTGTAGGGTCAAATTTAAGTACTGTATACACAAATTTTTGAGGTACTATATAAATATGGAGCTGACTAGTGATTTAAAATCACTACAAATGGCGTTCCTACAAGAACACCAACCAAAAGCACGTCCCAAAAACTGCGTGACTCCTGGGGTATGCTTTATTCACCTTACAGATGGAGTTAAGAAGAATATTCCTGGACGAGTGCACACCCAGACCCTGAGCCAACATGGCGTTCACGTAGTTTAAAAAGCCAGGAGACTTACCGGTATTTGTAGTCCATTCCTTCGTGGAATTCCCTCAAGAAATCCTTGAACCTCTTCTTGGTTTGGGTGTTATGGATGTAATTCTCATCCTGACCCTCGTCGCCGCCAAAGTTGTCGCTGAAGAAGATACCGGGGTCGTCGAATCCGTCCATGTTGCTTCTTGCTGTAACGTTATGTGTACAACGAATGAATGCCTCTGTCTGGACGAGTCTCACGTGGTCGAATTTGGCGCGAAATTTTCGCGGGAACAGGCGTCATTGGCCGGAAGTGTGGATTATTTGAGATAGTCCACTAGTGCTCATCGGGGTAAATGTGTGTTCTGATTCCTGATCAAACCACAAAAATATAAATACTAGTTAATAATATCCCTTTATTTGTATAGTTAATAATTTTCTTATATTGTTACTATACCTACTAGATTTCTAACTGTATAGCGCTGAATATAAAATATGAAGAGAGCAGAATAACACCCCTTCTCTTGAAATAGGGTATCTGATCATGTGTTGATTTTGATATGGGCGTAGTCACAATACGGGCCTCTGATTGGTTCAGTGGCTGATCCTGCTGTGTTTTGATTGGTTGTCACGGTCCTTCTCTTACGTGGACACAACGTGATCATGTTTCTTTCTTTCATGCTGCAATCTGCCCTGGAAAATTCCTGTGGAAAAACCGGCCGGTTCTTGCGAAATCATCGCTGCGCCCAGGTGGACTAGTATCGAGTCGTCGACAGGTCATGGCGTGTAGAAGAACATTACAGTCGTGTAGGTCGGGGTTGACGTTACTGCGGAAATTTGACCGCCAGCAACAGCTACGACACTCACGATCGTACGGCAGGGATGTCGCCATCATTGGCGCGCCTTTCAAGAAGGGCCAGGTACACTCATTCGCACATGTATAAAATCACGGGTCGAGTCTAACCCAGATCCTAATGTGTTCACTATCGTTGCTAAGATCATATAGTCCCTTTCAAAATAGGGTGTGTTTTCAATGCTTTCATCGGACTGGGTATTATATATTATTGCATGCATTATCAACCACACACATGACCCTTAGCTTTAGCCGGTCGTAAACCCGGAAGTTGCTTTGTCACTGATGGCTCATATTTGTTTGCAGAGCACATTACATGTAGTGGTCAAACACTGGAGATAACATTACTCTTAGCATCAGGACCTTTGGAGTTTGAACCAAAGAGAGACTTGTGCACTGTCAGGGCTCGAAATAGTAAATTTCTTTGTCACTCACAATACCATGCCAGTATTGTTTTATATTGCCAAAAAATTGCCATCAAATTATATTTGTGTATTTGTTCCTGCAGCCTCTAAATCATTTCTGCAAATTATTTGCAGGTTTATATTTCAAGCCCTGATGTTTATGCACCATTGAATCACCTCAGAGAATCTGTGCTAAGCCTTGGCACCACAGGTTGTAACCACCTTAATGCCACGGATTATTATCATCATAAAGCTTGATAAGTCTTCATGTCTCGTACCTTTATTTTGGGATATGTGCATAGATAATTGCACTTGATCCTCCCCCACAACCCATGAATATTTCACACAACTCATTATTTAGGACTTAACTGGATTAGAGAAATGGCTAATTGATTACCATTACCAGATGCTGCCCAGGCTAAGTACGTACTGTCGATCATGATAATCACAGACTCACAGGAATGGATGTCAAGTTGCTGGATAATGGAACCCATGTATGGTAACTGATACCAAACACTACTGATTGATAGCATTGTCAACTCATGTCTCTGAATACCAATTGTGCAACTCCTTTTTTCCAGAGGTTGGCTGGTGTTGAACAGGGACCCAGAGTGATGAGAGAAGCAGGGTTGATTGAGAAACTGAGAGACCTCGGTAGGTACCAGTATGTCAGAGGTGGACTTAGGAAACAAATCAAGAAAGCAGACTCTTTTGACTCATAACAATCTTTGCTTCCTTCCTTCCTTGTGACCCATGATTTAAGTCAAATCAAGGGTATGGCATTGGTTTAAAGATAATGATTTGTCCTGTTGCTCACCCTCTTCAGTTTTTTTTTAATTTTCCGTACAATACTCTAGATGGCTTACAGTACATTGCCTGCTCAAACAGATACAATTGTGTGTTATTACTACAGTGCACATGTTGTATTGTCTAAAAATATGCCTCTTGACAAGGGTGTCCCTACCATCTTGATTTATTGTTTTGTTTTGCATATGCCCCTGTCATCAACCAGCTCAAGTTACAATTGCTTTATCAGAGTGTTACCCGATACCTGCCCTGTTGTAAAAGTAGGACACTTGTCTCCCTGTTTACAGGCGGGTGTACATTTTTCCCACAGAAGTTATTCAAAATGACTGAAGAAGTCAACATTGATGACATGTTACAACATTCCTCATTGAAGTACAAATGATGACTTAAAACAACCTGTCTTGGCTTTGGGGTATGAGAAAGGAAGTCTGGCTTACAACAATATTTATGAAAGGCACTTGCCATTGGAAAACCATTCTGCATTTAATGTATTCCCAGGATTCTGTTTAGATAATCAGACCACCAAGAACACAAAACGAAGATAAAGCCTACATAGCAGTCTCCAGTTGGTATATGTATGTATGTATGTATATTATATGTAACGTTATAGCAGTCAGTCGTTAGGAAATGGCATCAGTCAACAAAAAGCAATACATGTATTCCACAAAACCAGAAGTGTTTGAGTGCCAACAGGAGATTGCTTTAAAAGTTAAAATACTGTCAATATTGAAACTTGAGCTCCACGAACACCTTTTTCTTCCTACCACAAAATCAAGTCCCAGCATATTTTACCACCCCAACTGGAATCTTATACCACAGTTAAAGCTGTAGAAAAATCAATTGCACTCAAAGCCTTATAGAACTGTCAAACCAAATGTGGAAAGGTCCCACCACCAGGCCAAGCCAAGACCTTGGGGAATTATATCCTTTTTGAGAGGCTCTAGCCTAGATCCATATTTGAGATATGAGGATGCCAGTGCCAAAGAGTACCAGGGTTGATATTAGATATAAACCCACTCCAAACAGTAAAATCTACTTTGAGTCCCAGTTACTATTACACACAGCTGTAACAGTGGCTACATCTGCCACTGGGCTTTGTGTTAAAAGCCAAGAGTGAACACTGCAAGAGCTTCAGAAAATTATTCGGATCATTACTGAAATGGCTGCACTTTATTCTACATGGTACATTGAGATCCTACGGTACGTTAAAAACCTGGGAAAGGTTCATTGAGTTTGATTTACAACACTTATCTCCATACTAGATGATGTTGACCCACAAAATTTTACTCCGTCACAAAAGTTATCACTGTTGCTACACCGGTACATATTAGGCATATCAGTAGCTTTATTCTACAATTTATTGTATGTTATTAACTACAAATGTTGCTACTATCCCTGCTGGCTAAAAACAAGCCTTAGATGTGTTAAAGCCTTTGTTAGTCTAGATAGAATCTTAACTGAATACACTCACTAAACTTTTTTTTTGAACTTGCAGGCCACAATGTGGAAGACAGGGGCGACCTCAAATTTGAGGTTTTTAAAGATGACCCAAAGAACTATGTTCTCAACCCAAAAGCTGTCGGTTCTGCAGCTAAGAAGGTGATCACTTGTTCTGCCAGAATTTACTGGACTTAATTTACATATCTGTTTGACTGTAACTTGACATATCATTAGACATGACTGATGATTTTGGCACATGAAACTCACATGACCATCAAGTGATGCCATGGCAAACTGCTTTTAGTAGTTTTACAACATACAATTTACCCCCTTCTCAGTGAACTAACTGATGGTTGCGGTCTTGCTACTGTGGCCATTATACTATCAGGTTTACTTTGGGTCTGGAATCAAGTCTAGATCACATGACAAGGAGGTGGTCCTTACTGAGAGAATAATCCAACAGAGATCAATATAATGGTATTACAAGGCCTGGAGAATGTTGCCCTTTTACCAGCTTCTTGTTCCTAAGTATTTTTAATACCCAATCTGGGTACTTTGCAGGTATCAAAGGCAGTAGAGCAGGCTGTACGAGATAACAAGTTGACAGTGACGTTGGGAGGGGACCACAGGTGACACTGTTATGATTCATTTTTTCCCAATGTTCAGTCAGTTCCCTTGCGTAATTGATAACATTTACAAGCAGTTGTTAGTGATTTGCATGCTGGCAGTTTTCGTCATTTCCTGATGTCATCTGGTTTTGTGCTACAGAAAGAAATATTGCACAACCTCTCCTTGTAGAGAGAATAATCAGCTCAAAATGTGCTCTCATTTAGTCTCAAGCAGTATCAGATCACCATCTATCAGTCATGATCATAACAAACAATTTCACTTTATATCTTAAATGTTATGAAAATTTTAATACCAGTTTATTTATTTTTTCTGAGTTTCAGTTCTGAAGGGCAATGTATGTTTATAACATAGACCAGTCCAATCAGCAAACATGAATAGAAACCCACTGTGCACTATATACTAGATGTAGCACATAATCATTTGGGGTCATATGCTGGACACTGTGTCCTGGGTGACTCAGTCACACAATGACCAAGTTGACATCAGAAAAAGAAATGATGGTGTTGCCAAGTGACCCTTGGCATCTGAAACACAGAGCCCTGGTTCTTTCCTTCTACTTTAGAATTTATGACTTCCTGACTTCCGAATGGTCACCATGAAACTACACAGAAGCACTGTACTGATTTTGTGGGAGCAAAAGTGACCATTGACACATCCACAGTCAGTGAGTTGTGTGGGTGTGTCATCAGTGAAAAGGGGATTTGACAACTTATATTTATTCATTGATTAGGCAAACTAAGGACATGTCTTGGGCAAACTGTAGCTAGTAACTGCTATTGTAAAAGACTAGCCCATTTATTTGGGAGGAGTTTGAGTTTGATACCCTTTAGAAGTAAACCACAGTATGGAGAAGACTAAAGTTGATTTTTTCTCTGTAGCATATCCATTGGAACGATC